GAGGACCTGGGTTAGCCGCGCCTTAGTGACAAACAACCATTTTCAAGCATCGTAACTTAAGTCAAGAAAAGCTATTTGTCAACGAAGATTTCTGAGTTCGATTCCGATCCAAGGTCTTTAAACCGAGAAGAAGACCGAAGGGCAACGAGAAGCCACATGCTAATTCAAATTCCAAACTACGGCTTCAATTCCATATCATTTCAAGATGAACTCAATTTCACGACGGATGAGTCATCCGCAACTCAATTCGACAGGGAGTTATTGAAACATCATAGTCAATTTTCAACTCCACCGAACGAAAAGCATGTCTTTTAATCTTTGCCCTATCCCCGTTACACGATTATGGGCAAAGAGGGGCAGTTGTCAACACACCTTTTCATCTGGGTACAACACTCTCAACAACCCCGATTTAGTGGGATTCAAAAAACAAGCATAATGTTAGAGTTTTACTAGGATTCAAACTCCTAAAAATAGGATAGAGTTTTACTAAGATTCAAACTCCTAAAAATAGGATCTACAAGCATTATAAATAACCTTTGTAACTCACTATTGTAACACACAATTTATAGGCGAAATACGAACAGAAAATTTAGAGCAATCAAAACATTTTTTTTTGCAAAGTTTCGAAGGCAACAAAGGTAAAAAACCTTACATTTTTCGGTTGTTAGGCTTGCATGTGTCGTTTGTTTCTTGCTTTCGATTTATAAAACCACAAAAACTCCAAAAGCCGATGACCGGAAGGGTTTTTTTCGAAACTAACTTTTTAGATCTACGGAACCCCGAGGTTATTTTGTGAAAATCGTTCGGACATTTGGAAAGAGGAGGGGAAAAGCTTTAAAAAATTTAATTTTTTTATATTTTTTTATTACCATTATTATTATATATACTTCATTATTATTATTATATTTTATATGTTTTATTTTGTTTTTTCTTTGTTTTAATTTATTATTATTTTTTAAAACATTTTATTTATATGTATATTCATTAATTTTTTTATCTTATTTTATTTCATTTCCATACTATTATTATATATTTTTTTCTATCTATTATTTATATATACATATTACTATTATATATATATACATTTTTCCATTTATTTTTTTATTTGTTGTAAATATTATATTTATTATTACATATATACATATATTTTATTTATTATTTATGATTCTTATAGCCTTCTATTTTTATTTTCTTTTATTACTCTTTACTTCATTTTTTATTATTATTAATATTATTATTAATATTATTCTATTTTATTTATTTCTATTTACCATTTTATTTTTTCCCTCCATTTAATTTTTATTTTTATTCCTTATCTTTATTTTTTTATCTTCTTTACATTTGTTTTATTTATTTGTATTTTTTTTATTTTTTTTATTTACTTGTTTATTATGTATATATTATTATCATTCTTTTTTCATTTTATTTTTCTTATCGTATTCATTTTTATCTTCACTCTTTTTTTATTCTTTATTTCGGTCATTTTTTTATTTTCTTTATTCTATTTATTTTTATTTTTTTATCTAACACGTTTCTTGACTCTCTTAAGGATACACCTTTAAAACTATCTAAGGTATGTAATTAAGATCGTATTTTTACCTTTAAATTTTAAATTACAATTTTCTTAATTTAAGACAACTGAAAATTGCGTAGTATCGAAAGGGCAGTTCAAGGGTGTTAACTCTTCCTTGACTGTAACCGATTCCCAAATCTGACACATCTTTGGAAAGACGCAGATCAGGTAAGAATAATGTATCCGATCAAATCAGTTATTTTAAAATAAATGATCGGTGACGACTCCAATTCGTTTAATCTAAGTCGAATCTCAATTTCGGAATCCAACCGAAAGACGATTACAACGGGGACCAACAAGAATATGTAAGAAGCAACACTAATATTTATCGAAACCATATCATTCTAGATAGGGGTGTATTCGGTTCGGTTCGGTTCAGTTTTTTACCAAAAATTGAACCGAATCGAAATAAACGGGTTTTCAATATTTAAACCGAAACCGAATAGTTAAAAAACCGAAAAAACCGAAACCGGTTTTTTTGGTTCGGTTCGGGTTTTTTAACGGTTCGAGTTTTTCGGTTCGGTTTATCGGTTTTTTAATAAAAAAATCACTTGAAACTATAATTTTTTTTACAAAAATTGCCTATTCGGTTCAATATGGAATAAATGGGTTCCATATGGAAAACCCGAACCGAACCGAATCAAAAAAATGAAGCCTTTAAACCGAACCGAAAACCGAACCGTTTAAAGCTAAACCAAACCGAACCGTTTTACTCAGTTCGTGTCGATTTTTCGGTTTTCTCAGTTTCGTTACTCAGCCCTAATTCTAGAAACATGAGAATTTTGTACAGTTAATTTAACATCACCAAAACTTTCAGATCAGATATTCAAAACCCATGCTCGATTTTTTGTGATTTGATTCCAAGTACTCATTTTTTCGAAAAAAAATCAGTTTTATTCCTCGTACAGATCCGGGGGGGGAACTCTTATCAAGTCCCCCGGAAGAACAGAGGGAAAAAGAATCTAATTACAGTAATTTTCCCTTCCTTTTACATGTTTAGTTTCAATGTTTTGCGCTTTGCGATTCCGTAATTTTAGGATTTTATGGGTTCTTTTAGTTATAGAAGTATCGTTTTCTCTGTTCTTTTAGCTTCAGTGTCTAGGCGCTTTTTAATATCGCAATTCTGGAATTTTCTGGGTTTTTAAAGTTCTAAAGGTACCCTATTTTTTTGGTACATTTAGCTTTAATGTTCTGCTTTTTTTTGGGTTTTTTTTTCTATTGTTGGAATTTTTTTTTGAAAGGTCTTCTGTTGGATTTAGATTTTCATGGAATAATTTCTTTCTGGGACTAGAAAATGAAAGAACAAGCATTTTATTGTGGAAGAAAAAGAGACGCAAGGAAGAATAACAACGGAGGAGGAATTAGTTGGAATGATGTGTTGACAAAAAATATTTGATGACATGTAAATTAATGCTTATTTAGAATAATATTATTTATTAGGGACCATGGTTGATGTGTTGAAAAAAGATTCACTTAAAAAATTTCTGCAAATTAAACAAATGGAAAATCATTATTAAGTGTCAACAATTAATAAAATAACCTTATATATATATACAAGAACTAATAAACATTAATCATTTACTTGAAATGATTGTTAATTAATAAGTTTAGCATTTCTAATCTCATCATGTTCTAGTTATTCTTGAGCAAATAATTAAAAATATCAAACCCAACCCTTCCATTATATATTCTCTCCACTCTATTCAATAGAAGGAAATAAAGCTTGATAAATAAAAAGGTGAATAGTTTCCGCCATTAAAAGATCGTTATTGCTTAAGAAACGATTATACATCTTTATTTTACTTGGAACAATCTTTCCGCTAATGTGGAATTTCCACAGGAGTCACCCTGTGAACCCATCGTTCAAGTCGAAGCTGCTTCAATGGAGGGCCGCGCAGAGTCTTGCCTTTACGAGGACAACGCCATTTTCCGGTGATCTCCGTTGCCTTTGCCTCACACTGCCGCCCATTGGTTTTCTCCCAACACCTTCCTTATCATAACGCCATTATCCTTTTCACCATCTGATGTTTTCCTTGAACACCGTGACAAAATCTCACCTGGTCCTCCCTGAGAATTTTCATCATTTCTTCTTTTAAACTTGTTCTTCCTTCTTGTGATAAAACCATTTTTTGCATTTTCTTTTCCAGCATCCTTTTCTTTGTCATTTTTTCCATCGATTTTGTCGGTTCGAACTTGAGTTCCCGAGCTCTTTCTGAAGCTATTCTTCCTATCTATCAACTTCTTTGAAGAATCCAGTGATTGATAGTCAGCTCCATTAAGTTCAGATAGGGAATCTACTCCATAGATGCTGCTATTTGGCTCCTGTTTGAATTGCATGTTTGGTTCCAAATTCTTCTCAGAACACACATCAACTTGCCAAGAAAGGTTTTCCTTGATTATAGACCAATGTGAATCCTGTAATACCAACATGAAAAGATAAATGGAGTCCTTTGATATGCTTATTTAACAAAACTCAAGAGAACAAACTTAGGAAAGGAGCAAGAATTAAAGTGAAAGAAACAGAAATGGAGATCCCAAAATACCTTACTAGCAGACTTATTTTCTTGCTCATCATGTTTGATGGGACTGCAGCTTTTACATTTCCCAAACCCATTTGAGCATATCTTCTTATCAATAATCACAGTAAATTTGTCCTGATTAGATAGTGTTCCTTTAGAGAGACTATCTTGAAGTTCATCATTGGTATCCAAGACAGGCGACTCATACGCAGAGTCTGGGAACCAATTTCCGATATCTAGAGGCTCTGAAAAAAGAAACACAAACAAACATTACAACATTTGGCATAATCACATAGCTTTCTTCCTGGAAATTGAAGAGTGCCAGAAGTTTATACAAACCAGAAAATAGAGGGTCTGAATCACTCTTCACATCTACTAAAGAACTATTGCATCTAACCAAATTAGCTGAGAAAATCTTGTGAGAGGTGCCCTCCTGAAATTGATCTGAATTCACAAATTCATCGTTGATGCTTTCTCTATTGACAAGTTCATGTTTCTTACCTTCACTTTCTCTGGAGACATAACTTTTGAAACAATCATTGGTATCCAACAAAGGAGATTCGTACACATAGCTTGAAAACCATTTTCTGATATCTGAAGGCTCTGAGAGAACATCAAAACATATACCAAATTCACTTTCTTTACATGCTTAAATTAAGCACTTAATCCAACTTCGTCTTAATTTCCTTCGCTAAATTCTTTTCATCAGCAAAACTTAATTTACACACTGTAAAAGCTCAACAAACAAACAGAAAAACTCAAAGAAAAATGGCACTGAAACATACCAGAAAGGACTGAAAGGGAGTGCAATGAATCCTGAACCCTAAACAAAAAGAATACTATAAAATTTGAAGAACTATGAGCTATTCACTAAAATTCTCTTAATTTCGGCTAAATAAACATGCTATTCAAGAAAACCCATATTTTCCAGAAGCAGATGTAAAATCAAATGAAAATTTTACCCCCATATTGTTAAAGTTATCGCGTTCATCAGCATTTCCGATTTCTACATACCCATTAACTTTTTCTTCTTTTTCTCTGTTAATTTCTCCAATTGCCAAATCATATTTGTCGTTTTTCCTTTCTTCTGAAGACATTCCTCCGAAATTTTCGCATGTATCCAAGACAAAAGAATCATACTTGTAAGATGAAAACCAGTTCCTTATGTCAGGAGGTTCTGGTTTAAGAAAAGGGTGAAAGTAGTTAAAATCGTTCTTGAATAAAATTAAAGCTCAAAATTTTCTTTCGAGATAAGAAATGCTAACCAGAAGGAATGGAGCATGAAGAACCTGTAATCTAATGTAACAATAAATAAATAATGAATTAGAAAAATTAATTTCACAGCAAGAGAAAATTAGTTGCTGCAATAGCTTTGTTTTGCAACATTTTCGTATGAACCAAACAGAAAATTGAGAATTTCTACGAACTTGAAATTGTTGAAGAAAGCAATCATCCATACCTCAGAATTGAAACCCTCCATTAAAACTCTCTCATCTCCGTTGTTGAGAAGAAGTGAAGTTTTTCATTTATTTCTTTTTCTTTTTGCGATTTTCCCCGGGACATTACTTGGCGCCTTTACTTTTGTAATTTGATGGAATCCGTGTCTTCTTTTGTTTCTATTTGGGTACTTTACATTTTAGACCACAAAACTTAACTTCAATATTTATCTAGATCACAAATCTTCAATTTAGTCAAATCAGATCACTCAACTTTTATTATTAAGTCGCTCATATCTAGGGGTGAGCAAAACTCGACTTGACTCGAGAAACTATTCTTTTGACTTGACTCGAGAAACTATTCTTTTGACTTGACTCAAATTAACTTTGCGTCGTAATTTCATAAACTCGACTCAATTCAAAAAAAATCAAATTTGAGTCGAGTTATAAAATAAAACTTAAAAAACTTAAATTTTTTAGTAATTAGTGGATTCATTTTCAAGTTTGAGTCGAGTCCCTCGACTTTATAATTTACACTATGTAATTGGATCCTACCTCTATATGGGTTAGAATCTATTTACACAATGTTACAAAAAAACCTTTTAGTTTTACGCTAATTAAGGATCATTAGATGAGTGAAAATGGTCGGTTGAGATTATCTCCTTATTTTTCAGTGAATATCTTTTTATTTCATACTGTTAATCTTAGTCATTTATTTTCACTCATCTAACGATTCTAAATCAATGTAAAACTTTCTAGCTTTACACCATATAAATGGATCCTACCTTTATATGGGTTAGAATTCACTTACACAATGCAAAAAACTTTTAGTTTTACATCGATTTAATATCATTGGATGAAGGGAAATGGACAACTAATATTATCTCCTTGTTTTTTTTCCAGTGAATATCTTCTAATTTCCTACTATTAATCTCATTTTTCTATTTTCACTTATCCAATGATCTTAAATCAATGTAAAATTTTATAGTTTTTCACTGATCCTATCTCTATATGGATTAGGATTCACTTACACAATGTAAAAAACTTTAATTCTACACTAATTGAGGATCGTTGGATGAGTGGAAATAGATAGTTGAGATTATCTCCTTTTTTTCTTCAACTGAATATCTTCTCATTTCCTATTTTTAATCTCAGTCATCTATTTTTACTCATCCAACAATCATAAATCAAAGTAAAACTTATAGTTTTACAACATATATCTGGGACTTACCACTATATGGGTTAGAATCCACTTACATAATGTAAAAAAAAGTATAGTTTTACACTCATTTAGGATCGTTGGATGAGTGAAAATGGACGATTGATACTATCTCCTTGTTTTTCCAGTTAATATCTTATCATTTTCAACTAATAATCTCATCCATCTATTTTTACTCATCCAATGATCTTAAACCATTGTAAAACTTTCTATTTTTACATTATGTAATTAAAACCTACCCTATATGAGTTAGGATCCATTTACACAATGTTAAAAACTTTTAGTTTTACACTGATTTATGATCGTTGGGTGAATGAAAATGGACAATTGAGATTATCTCCTTGTTTTTCAGTAAATACCTTCTCATTTTATATTATTCATCTCAACCGTCTATTTTTACTCGTCCAACAATCCTAAATTAATGCAACTTTCTAGTTCAATGAGGAATGGTGTACACACACACATCAGTAAGGAATGGTGTATACACACACATCAGTGTACACACACATCAGTGAGGAATAATGTACACAGAGAGAGAAAATATAAAAATACCCATTAGAGTAAAAGAGGAAATATTAAATTGTTGTTATATGAAACAAATGTTGATTGGATAAATAAAAAAAAACTTTGATTTACATTTATTTTATTCTTACACTAGTACAAGTGTAGGTGTCTTTTTATTTACATATATATGATTTGGGTGTACTAGATATTTTACTTTTATTAAAATTAAATTTTAGATGATAAAAAGAAATTTGAATATATATGTTGTGTAAAACTAAAAGAAAATAATCTTTTAGTCATTTATTTTTACTCATCTAACATCCAAAATGAGTGTAAATCTAAAAGTTTTTACATTGTATAAGTGGATCTTAACTCATATAAATGTAAGATCGAGTTATATAATGTAAAACTTGAAAGTTTTACACTATTTAAGATCGTTGAATGAATGAAAATAGTCTACTGAGATTAATAGTAGAAAATCAGAAGATATTCACTAGAAAAGAGAACAATGAGATAATCCCAGTCGTCTATATTCACTCATTCTATGATTCTAAATTAGTGTAAAATTAAAAAAAAAAATTACATTGTGTAAGAGGATCCTAACTTGTATAGAGGTAGGTTCCAGTTACATAGTGTAAAACTTTCTAGTTTTAAGTTGATTTGTATCATTGGAAGAGTGAAAATAAATGACATAGATTAATAGTAGGAAATGAAAATATATTCACTGAAAAAAAAACAAGGAGATAATTTCATCCCACCATTTTCATTCATCCAACGATCCTTAATCAATGTAAAACTAATTTTTTTACATTATGTAAGTGGATCATAAGCCTATTGTCATGGCCCTAGAGATTCCAACTTGAGAATGTGCGACGCTAAACACTCTTAGATGCTACTTGATCGGTTCTGAGCCTAAGTCAGCCTTAATCCAAGCCTTATGAGCATACAAACTCAACAAAGTCTGGAACCAAGCTCTCAAGGCTTTGATGGATGCAAAAGATTTAGAGCTAACGTGGCCACTCAAGCCACCAAGGTTGGATACTCGTGTGGAAGTGTAAAAACCACTAGGGTTACTCTTATCCACCTAGAGAGGCAACGACACAAAGAGAACATAAAATAATTGAAAAGGACAAGAGAACTAAAGTAAATGCCTTATAGCTTTATTACTCTCTCAAAGAGAATGAATGGAATGAGATGTTACAAATGAGGAGGGAACTCTTTATTTATACTTGAGCTCCCTCGCAATCAATGGCTTAGATCTATTTAGATCAATGACTAAGATGAAACCAAATAATTACAAATCCTCTAAAATAAGGAAAGTCGATCCCACAATTATATTAATTAGTCTCCTTCTTTTCTTGGATGAGTGTTCACACTTGATATGATAAGAATCCTCCACAATCTTCTCTGATTTGTTGTCTCTTACCATAACTACAAAGTTCATGTGATCATCTTTTGATATGATGTCACTTTCAATATTTAAACTTGTAGTGTGAACGGGCTCTCTAATATTCTCCAAGTGATTGGCCAAGGCTGGTGGTCTTGGCAAGCCCGATACTTTATATTGAACCCCTTTGTATTACGTCAATGTCCCGAGTCTGATTCTACGACGCGTGATATTCTTCCCCACCGAGCTTAGTGATGTCATCGTCACTCTACTGAAACGATCCTGAGCTCCCTCCCCTTGAATTCGTCTTGCTGCCTTAGCTTGATGTGATTCTTCTATGAGAACTGCTTGCCTTGGCTCAAACTGTAATGTAACTCCACAATCCTTCATGGCATTATCTAAATCAACTTGGCTGCTCAACACCTCAGATTGTTGGCGTCCTCTCATAAGGAATGCCATTAGGACTGGTTGCTTTAGATTTTACCTCCAAGTGATGTCTTCGTTCGGTATATCTCCCTCATAGGAGTTTTCTCCTACCAACTTTAATTTACCTCGACTTGGAACCCCTCGATCCTTCGACAAAAGCTTGGTTGTCCCCTTTAAACCTCTGGCCTTTTCAACCTGATAGTTAGGTCTCTTCCAACATACACTCATCAAAGATGATGAATCAAGCTCAAAAACATTAGACTTATGTTCAAGATGTACTTCCTGTCTACTCTGGTATTTACTCTAAAACGTGTCAGCTTTTTTTTCTCCACGAAGCCTGACACCTCATGCATCAAATTTTCTTCATTAAATTTCTTTTCCCCATTGTGCACTAGCCCTTCTCCCTTGAAGTTTGGTGTCACTCATTGCATCCTCCCCTCTAACTTGAAGTTTAGTTCTCCGTTCTCACATCGGTTCTTCCTATTTAAAGTCTATTACCTTCCTTTGCATCAGCAGTTCTTACATGAAGTCCTTCGGCTCTTTCCCACCTTGCCCATTGGTAGTTCCACGATTGCCTGTCTCTCCTTGGCTTAGCTCCCTTCAAAACTTCTATAATTGTAGTCTTTGAAGGCTTATTTTTCCCACTTGAACATGCTCGACAAGCTCCTAAGCCTCCTTGCACATGGTTACCCCTTTCTACACTTGGCTTCTATTCACCTCAATAGAACTCATCACCATCGCACCAAGTATTGCAGTCTCATTACCCTAGGCCTTGTCTTTTCCTTTGGACTGCTTGGTTCGATCCAAATACTTTCACAACTTGTGAGACCCCATACAATGATAGCACTTCATTTGCTTATTATTTACCCTCGACTTGATGTCTTTCTCATTCTTTATCATCGTGTCCTTTTCCATGCTTAGTTGCTTTGCCCCTTGTAATCGCGCCAAATCTCGTTACTTCTTATTCTGGCTCGTTTATCCTTGTGACGATGGCAGTAATGCGACTTTTCTCAGGACATCCCCTTATCACATGAGGACCATCACAGAAGTATCACTTGATCTCCTTTTTGCTCATCTTCTTCTCCACAATGGACCCAACCTTATCATTTTCCCTTGAAAGTTTCCCTTGGCTATTATCAGTTGGTAGCTCTCTTCAGGAACTCAAAGATCTTTCTTCACTATCTCATTATTGCACCCCTTCTTGATCTTCCCAGTCATTTTTGTTTTCCCTATACTTGAGTTCGAACGATTCTATGCTAGTTGGCTTGGCCCTGCCAAGCTCGAGTAACTTGTTCCTCCATGACGTTTACCCCTAGTCTAAGGCCTTCCAAGAAGGACTTGAGTCCACCCCATTCACTCATTTCTCTCTTACATATAAACAGCTCCTCATTAAGTTTATTCATCTCATTTCTCAAACTTTTCACCTCGGCTTCATGGACATTACTCTCTTAAACTACCTCTAACTCATTGATAACTCGTTGTAGCTCATCATTGAAATTTTACTCTATGGACTTCAATCTATCAAGACGGGACTCCACAACTCCCTGTGTCTCCTTGGTTTCTCCTCGGATTTCT